CACCTCCAAGCCCCCTCGAACCCTGCCTGAAATTTGTGTCTCCCTGATTCTCCTGCTTCCTCCTTCCCCCTCTTTGTCTTATTCGCGCTCCCTCAGTCACCGGTGCGGACGCGTGGTGGCTGACACTCGAATTACCCACCACCACACCACCATCTCAACCACAACTTGTGCAGAAAGTTCGTTCTTTTTTTTTCTGGGATTTATTTGGCAAACTACCCTAAATTATCAACATTTTCGTTCGTGCTGCTGATGCTCGGCGCCTGCGAGACTCGGGGTAGGCCACCCCGCGGTACACGCATGCGTTGAAGGCGAGATGCTGCCTACCTACCAGGCGCTACGGGCTCTTGCCGCGCTGGAACGACGGAACGTGATGGACATACGTTTTAGATGACATCCCTTGACCTTAACATATGGCCCAAACTCTTGCGATGCAAGCTCCCTATCGTTAATCCCTCATTCAGCTTTTGGTTTAGCTGCTCTACAGCTCTAATGTGGTGACTCCTGGCTGCCCGCAGGTGCCGCGACGGCTCGATAGCGGACTTCCTGCAGCACCCTAACGGGTCGGCGATGAGCCTGCCACCGCCCCAGCCCAGCAGCGGTGCGCCAGCGCCACACTGCTCAGACTAGACGGTCGAATCTTATTTAAAATTGTGTATCTGTGATAGTCCTGGTTGTTGTTTTTTGTTGGATTTTTTAAAACTGGAAAAAGTTTTTTTTTTCTTTTTTCAAAAGTATGTTTTGTTGTATGGAGGTGGAATATAAGTTCCATCCATCTGTGCCAAAGCCTTTCATTGGGGTCCTCTGTGGCGCATGATTTTTGAGGTTATGGTTAGGCTGGCCTGCCGAAGGCGGTTGCCGGTGGAAAAGAGTTTCCGAGTCTGGCTTTGGCACAGTGGGGTCCTGTAAAGGGGATATGCCCTCCTGCCCCCAGCAAAAGTGCGTAAACTGTCTCCTCTGTTTCCATCGCGTTGTGTTTTTACTCATATCCATTACTCTACAGAGATCTTCATAATTATTATCTCACTAAATATCGTTGCTTAGCCCTTAAGCTATTTATATCTCCATTAAGGTTTTTGTTGGTGATTAGTATGTACTTATAGTGCCATATCGGTCCGCTTGGCGTGTTCCTGTGATACAAACTGAGCACCCGCGCGCGTTCACTCACTGCCCACTTGCTCATTCATCATCTTTATATTTGATGTACAAATATTTATTACTATAATATATAAATGTGTCTCCTTACCTGTTGTGTTTGTTATTCCTCCTGTTTTCAAATGGTTCTTTCCTTTGATTTCAATTGTTTTAATGAACAGACAACGTTTTCATAGAGAGATCATTATACGACCATTGACGTACACATTTATTTAAATAAACATTCATTATCGACAATTTAGCAATAAAACTCGCTAGAGACAAAACAAGTGTGTGGCTTTTTTTTGTTTAAAGGTAACTATTTAGGTTAAGGTATTGCACTTTTACATTATTCGCTAAAAGAAGGCCTAGCCTGATGAGGAACTACAGCGTACGGCGACATTACACTAGTGCGTGACCTACAATAACTTTGGTTTCCAAGGCTTAGGTGCCCTGCCCTATCGCACGTCTACAGAGACCTACCACATCATGGCAAATCTCTGATTTTATCACATTAACATACATCATTCCGTTGCATCAATGGAAAGTTCGACTGCGGTAGATATAATAATAATGAGTCTAACAAAAACAGTAAAGTACATAATAATCTCTAGTATGGCTTTATCCTCAATATATACATAACATAACAACAGAAAACGAGACGAGGAAGATAGAGAGATGGGGGATAAGACTTGAATAGATATGGAATCACTGCTACTAATACACTAAGTAACATAACGATGGCACAATATAATTTAATAACTTTTCTTTAAAAAAGAATTCCTTACGAGATATCACTTTACACTTGTACTTTATCGTTGGCCATGAGCGACTTGGCGCCGCCGCCGTCCATTGTAAAGTCCATCAAGTCCATCTTGGGGGACAGGTTCAGGTGTGGCGGCGCCAGGGGCGAGGGCGGCCGCCGGGATGGCGGGGGGCAGCCCATGAGCCCTCCGGACATAGACAGTCCGGTGGACATACCGCTGGACAGACCGCCGGGCATACCGCCGGACAGCCCGCCGGACAGACCGCCGGACAGGCTTGGAGATAGACCCTGGGACAGGTCCGACAGGAAGCTCAGGTCCGAGGTGCCGCTCGAGTCCCTGCACCTGCACAAAGGCGGCTCAATAAGACTTGGCTGCTGCGGGGGGCGCGGGGGCGGGCCGAGGGATCGACGACAGGAGTACTGCGTGGGTGGAGTACACTCGGAGTACACCCACGGTACACCAAGAGTAAACCCAGAGTACACCCAGAGTACACCAGTCGTCAACCCCCTCGGCATGGGCCCTGAGCAGTACAGTACGTCACTCAGAACGCGCTCACCACATCATCTCGTTCCGCCGCTGCTTCATGAGCGCTTTGTACTCGGAGATGCGCATCTTCTTGCCGTCCACGACGCAGGTGCGCTTGGGCCTGGGCCGGTAGCGGTAGTTGGGGTGCTTCTCCATGTGCTGCTTGGACAAGCGCGACTGTTCCTCGTAGTAGGGCTGCTTCTCCTCATTGGACATCTGCTTCCAGTGCGTACCTACGAAATAAAACACACACATAGGTTAGAAACACTTCAAAAGATTTTTTTTAAATGCTCGATTTTTATCAAATTTTTCTAAAAATATTTTAATTTTTTCAAAATAAAAATTTTGAGAAAGTTTCTCATATTTTTCGGAAAACTTTTGGTTTTTGAAATCCCCAACCCTTACCGAGGATCTTTGAGATCTCCGAGTTGTGCATGTCGGGGTGGCTCTTGAGGATGCGTCGCCGCTCGTCCTTGGCCCAGACCATGAAGGCGTTCATGGGCCGCTTGATGTGCGGCTTGCCGGCGCCGTCCCGGCGCGGCTGCCGCGCGGCCTTGCCCTTCTCTCCGGGGCTGGTCTCGGGGGCGCTCCACACTGGAAAAGAGCGGGTTTCGCATGTAAAGCCAATCAAAACCAGCAGTATATAATAGTTGCACTTATTTTCATTTTTGCTCCAATCGTCTGAAAATATTTTTCGGTCACTGGAAATCCTAGAGTACGAATATAACACACCTGCAGATGTGTGACAAAATATTCACACACTAGCAGGAGGTTAGGGCATAGAGATTCGTACACCTTGCTTCATAGTTCCGTTGCATTCGTGGTGTACTCACGTTGCGACATCTGGGCGTCATTCTCCGATAGTGTGGGTGACTGCTGGTGCTGCGGTGACTGTTGGTGTTGCTGCTGCTGCTGGGGCGAGTGCTGCTGCTGCTGTTGCTGCTGCTGCTGCCGCTGCTGCTCCTGGTGCTCCTGCACGCCGTACAGCAGGTGGTGGAAGTAGGGGTGGGGTTGAGGGTCGGTCGGCCTGGCGAGCATGTGCCTGCCGTTCTTGGGCGCGGCGGGCGCGCGGGGCGGCAGCGGCGCGCCCAGCTGCGGGTACGGGAGGAAGGCTCTGGGCACGACGAGCGGCGGGGCCATGGGGCCCATGGGTCCCATCGGGCCCATGGGAAGGTGCAGCTGCTGCCGGCCCAGCATCTGGTCCAGGCTGTCGAGCGCCAGGTGCTGCCTGTCCGGGACGCGGTCCTGGACGGGGCCCGGCGAGGCCGCGGGGGTCGGGCTCCTCGCCGGCGTCCTGCCCGCCTTGGGCTTGCTGAGGTTGAGCGGGGCGTCGTCGCCGTCGGCCTGCGGCGTGACGGCCCTGCCCGGGCTCGGGGCTGGGGGCGCGGCGGGCGACGGCGACCTGGTGCCGGCGGGCGGCTTGCCACCCATGGCCAGGCCGAGGGGCCCACCCAGCGGCCCGCCCAGCGCCAGCGACATCTGCGCCGCCAGCACGGACAGCTCTGCGCGCACGGGCAGCGCGGGCTCGTCCGCGGGGCCGGGGGCGTGCGGCCAGCTCATCTGCAGCACAAGAAGGGTGGCGTGGTTAGGGTTAACATTGCCAAAAGAAATAATTCAGAAAAGGGGTTCAAAATTTTTTTGTTGATGGATTTATATTTTTTTTCTCAGTAGGTAGAACTTAAGCAAATTTTTCTGAAAATTTACAATAAGATTGCGATTTTTGTCTGTCAAAGTTAGGAAATCCCCAAAAGTCCCGAGTTTTGAGCCCCGGCATCACGGGGTGCGCTGCTTACCGAGCCCGACAGGTTGCTGATGGACTTGATCCTCGACAGCGGCGGCACTTGGATGGGCGGCGGCCCGCCGTGGTGGGCGTGCTGGTGCGGCGCCAGCTCCCGCAGCTGCTCAAGGAAGCCGCCGGTCTGGAGGAAGCGCTCCTGCTGCAGCCGCTGCTGCTGTTGCTGCTGCTGCTGCTGTTGTTGCTGCTGCTGTTGCTGCTGCTGCTGCTGCTCGGCCTGCTTGTGTGCCTCGCGATTGGCCAGCGCCTCCAGCGTCTGGAACAATGGCAGAGCGAGTTGTGGAATGCCGCTGTGCGACGCCCACCACCCACGCCCCCCACCACCGCCCGCCCCGCGGCACGGCCGCCGCGACGCCACTCCCTACTCCCCACCACCTGCGCGCGGGGCTTTGTTCTGCCGCTCGGCCCCTTTCTCTCTCTCTCTCACTCTCTCTCTCTTGTCTGGCCGGCCAATGGGACGCCGGGGGTCGGGTCGGAGTCCGGCATTGCGCTTCGCCACACTGTCACTCTACGCCCCCTGTGACGCCGGCCGGGCGGCGCCGCGGCCTTTCGTCACATCGCTCCATCCGCCTCGTCTCTCTCTCCCTCTCACATGCACACACACTCTCTCGCTCTCTTTCTCCTTCTCTCGCTCCTTCACGGTGCTTTCAGCGCATCGCATTGTCACGGCGCCGCTCAGCAGCGACTCGACGCCACGGCGCTTCAAGAGCCCCGTCCCCACTCCTTCACCCTCCCTCAGGCATTCATCGACATATCTGCCGCCGCTCACTGCCTTCCCATCCCCCTTATCCATCCCCGGCTGTGGCTCTCTCTCTTCCTCTCACTCGGTGAGCGAAGGATGAGAGAGAGGTGGGGGGGGAGGGGGAGACACAGAGAGAAAGGGGGGAGGGGACGTGGGGAAAACACCACGAGAAGAACTTTGCAAAAGTGTCTTGAAATGCGCTGTTCCGCTCTGCACGCTGCGGACCCCTTCTCACCCCCCTTCCCTCTCCTCAACGATAGTCTCTCGGATGCTGCTCACCCCCCCTCTCCCACCCCC